TGCCTTAGCAGAATGACCCCAGGTGGGTGATGTCATTTTTAGCTGAGTATTGTCTCTTGGTTCTGGAGACAGGTCTGATTCCTCCCCAGGGCTGTGAGGAGAGTCCATTCTTGACCCTTCTCTGCACCTGGAGCAGGTGGTGCCTCAGCCACGTGTCTGCATATGGTCTCTGTGCCTGTCCATTTCCAGATTTCCCTCTCGTGGGGGACACTGGTCACGTGGGATCAGGGCTCATGCTTCACTAATTTCATCAGCAAAATGCAATTTCCAAGTAAGGTCACAGTCTGAGGTGCCGGGAGGGCTCAACATGTGAACTGGGTTGGGGGATAATTCAGTCTGAAGCGCAACTTCCCATACCACTTTCTCTTATGACTTAGATTTCACCTCAAAGTCTACTGCTCAAAGGCAGAAGCAAAGGTTTTACTAGGATGCTCCTCACCCTTGGAATTGGAGTGCCCCCTCCCCTAGAATTGTAACACTCCTTTCTCTACAATTCCCACTCTTGCAGTGGGAAGAGACACCAGACTATGTGGATAGGGTGCCAAGGATTCAGGCTATCTGCTGAGTCACACAGCTTACCTGTGGCCATCCAGCTGACAGTCAGTCTCCTTCCTCCATATTTCATGCTGATGTCCCATAACAGCCACCCCCTCATGGAAGCAGAAGGCGAAGGAGTCAATGTAGGACAGCGCCTCAGGGCAAGAGCAGGTGGTGATGGTGAGGAGGAAATATCAAGGCTATTTTCACCTCCAATCCCTCACCTCCTACTCTGCTTCTCAATTAGTGATGCACCCTGAGGCTCACTGCTGTTCCAGTCACTACCAGAGCTGGAAACAGTTTCCATTTATTAGTTTGGTAGGTTCCAAATATGTTCTAGGGCAAGAAGTATCCTTATCCCAGTTTAAAACTGAGGACATCAAATCATTCCTCCAACAAGTTATGACAAAATCTCAGCCTTCCCAGTTGCCTGGGTCCTGGAATTGCAGATGAGGAATTCGAGAAGCCTCATTCCAATAAGGCACGATTGAAATGAACTCTGTGGACAGTCAAGGAATAAACAGAGAAGATGCTTCTCATTCATTCTTTGCTTCATCCACTTGCTAAACATCTGTTGAGTGTTGACTGTTGGCTTGCAAATGAGTCTCTTGCTTTGCAAAGCCAGGGAAGGGAAGCACCTAACAGAGAATATCTCATAGGTAGGAGATGATGCATTGAGTGGCTGGGGACACCCCCATACAGCAACAGCCTCACAGGCATGGATCCCAGAAAGAGAGTGGTTACTCAATGGCTGAGTGAACTTGTGAGTCACTGGCAATGCCCACACTGGTTGTTCAAAAAAACCACCATTTTGGAAATACTCTGATCTGACTGTGCCCTCTGGGGATTGATTATCAGAGCTGCCCACTGAGCCCTGGGAAGGTGGTTGTGAGTAAGGTGGGGAAGAGAGTCAGTCGTTCTTTTCAGGTGGCATTTTTCTTTGACCACTGTTTGAATATACTTGTCCCAGACAGTCTTGATGCTAATATCACTCCTGAACTCATTCTTAACCACCCAGAATCTCCTTTCCAAATCTTCCTGGTGCCATTTGGTTTATTGATTTCTGATTTTCAAGAAAGATTTGTGGGTGCCTATGAATTTCTATTTCCAGAACCATGAGGCTGGCTTTCATGAGCCCAGGCCCTCTTGCCTGCAGTGTCCCTGCCTCCAGAGCACAGCCAAATGGTAGAATCAGAAGAAGCCCTCAGTGTAGGCTCCTGTTAGCAAAGATTTTTAGCTGGAAAGACTTGTATTGCAGTCTGACTTCAGTAGCCACATGGCATTAGCTAAATCAGTGATGCCCTTAATCTAGCTCCTTCATCCAGCAAGTGTTCTTTATTTTGACATATATTCCCTAAGGATGGCAGCATAACCCATGGCTTCCTGGATGAAACCAAGCCTAACTGACCTCTGGAATTCATATTGACAGAGGCAGTGCATTCTCTGTCTGACTGAGATCCATTTGAGTTGGTTCGGTGTCTCTACACAAAAACCATTGTCCATATTGTGAACCTGGACATGGCTGGGTTAGGTCAGCCTCAGCCTCTGTGTCAGTTTTCCCTCCTGTCCTCTGACTCTCCTAATGTTGCTTTGGAAGCCTGACTGATTCCAGAGGACTGGAGCGACCCACCCAGCACTCTGTGCTGTCATTATCTGTCACCAGGTACCTCTGAAGACCCCTGTCCTACTGTCCTAAGACTCTAGCACAGCCAGTTGTGACTCAGCTCCAAGGTTGAGAACATCAGGGAAGGAGCCAGCAGGCACAGAGAAGAGCAGAGAGAAACCAGTATTACAACACCCACTGACGGTCTTAAGATACCGCAACAACCCTGGAGTCAGATGCGAAAAGACCCTGGGCTGGATATAACCAAATCTACCTTGAACATTACTGTTATTCAGATCCTGGAGAAGCCTCAACAGCCAGAACATGTCATCAGGGGGCCATGAAATCTTCCCCTCTCGTCCACTCTTGTGCAAAGTGATTGTCAGATTTTCCCAACAGTAAACGAGGGAAACAGCCCCAGGATTTCCACATATGCCTCCAGTCTGACTCTCCTGCTATTCTCATTTCAGAACTCAGAAAAATGCACACTGGTGTTCAGAATCTAGAGCAAGAAGGAGCTGGAAAATTATACCCTCCTTAGCACCCCAACATCACTTACATCCATACCAGAGAGAGTATCATAACCATTGGAGAACCTGCCAGATACAGGTCATCACCTCCTCCCTGCAGTGGGAAGGGGGCAGGTCACAATTCCTTTATGAAGCAGGTCGTGGCGTCCAGGATCTTCCAAGTGCAGGGGAAGTTGAAGAAGGGCATGTCCAGGAAGGACAGCGCCCCGTGGAAGCCATCGTCCAAGTGGTGCCAGGTCACCGGGACGCCAAGGTCCTCCAGCCTCTTCTTGTACAGCAGCGAGTGGTCCCGGAGAAGGTCGTGCTCACAGCTGATAATGCAGGTTTCCGGGAGCCGCGACACCACGTCATCAGAGGCGATCAGGGGCGAGACCATCTCATCCAGAGCCAGGAGGCACTCCTGGTAGGCATCCTCATTCAGGGGCCCAGGGGTCTTCGGCTGGTACCCCCTCTGCTTAAACCTCTCAGGGATGTTGTCTGGGCCCAGCCACTTCTGATACTTTGCCCACACTGCAGGGGGCAAGTGCGCATTTTGCAGGATGATGCTCTTCCAGGCAGGGTTGATGCTCAGGTTGATGCTCCAACACAGGAAAACAAAGTCCAGGCTGAGCAACGGGACGTTCTTGTTCTGCTGATACGAGGGGCATTGGAAATCAATAAATTGAAGGCCAGGGTAGACAAGGACTTGGGCGCGGATCTTGGGGAGATCTGGATAGTCCAAGAGGCTTTGACAGACTATGGCTGCCAGTGCTCCTCCCACACTGTCACCATACACGACCACACGGGCCGGATCCACCCCGTACAGCTTCAGGGACCTCAGGAAGTGGATGGTGGCGCAGATGGAATCTCTCACCAGCACCGGAAACCTACCTTGGGGTACGGGGCGGTACCTAAAGAGCATCAAGGACGACAGTTTACATGCTGCGCAGCAGAGCCCAACACCCGTGTCTGCCACCTTCACCCCGGTGCCCTCCCATGGCCCTGCTAGCCCTGTGGAGCCTGACCCTGCGGGCGAGGGAGAGGCTGGTGAGCCTGCAGGCACACCTAGCTCAGGGGTGCCGGCGCCACAGCTGGAAACTGCTGCCCCCACTACCCCATTTCCGGGTCTTGGGAGTCCTAACGGTCACCCGGGGCTGACACCTCACCATCACCAGCATGGCCTCTGCCCAGCTCCCAGACCTTGACTCCTGCTCACATGTCTCATTTTCCCGATCCTTCCCTGGCCTCCTACAGCTCCGCCAGGGCGATTCTGACAATCCTGCAACACTCTGCCTCTAAGAGGACCCTGAAGTCACCAGCGCCACAGTGGCCCGCAGATGACGCGCCAGCCTGCTCCGACAGGCCACGGTTACCGGCCACCGGCCACCACGCACTGTACCACGGACCTGAGAGCCGCTCGTTGCCAGCAGACACACCAGCCTGGCACGGCCAGACCTTACCTAATCCAGGAGACCCAGAAATAC